CGTGATAGCCTAAAGCAACATGAATTAATAAGCCTTTTTTTTTAAACTCCCACAAAACCTTTTCAGAAGTCCAGGAGCAATCAGGAGTGATACCAGTCCAGTTCTTGGTGATCAGCAACAGAGACATTGCTGAACAGCACTGTAAGAACACATAAAAACAGCTGCACGTAGGTGAAAGGCTGAAGGTTCCTGTGTCAGTGTGAGGAGGTCTGATTGTCTCATGTCTGCTCTGAGCACAATTATGGGAATTAAGCCTACAGTGCTACCAAGCTGGCTTCTTTTTGTAACATTCAAAGCAGTGAATAACAAACAAACAAAAAGGCAGTGATTTTTTTCCCCAATGATTTTTAGCATAAAAATAGCACACTACACACCTCAGACTGCAGGAATGAAGTTCTAAGCCACGGCAGATTAAAATAAATTGATTTGCTAAATGAATAAATAGAAACCCTTGAGTTACACAGCATTTTAAGTATGAGAATGATTGACTGAAAGAGGTTTAACACTGATACTAGGTTAAATCTTAAATTAGGTGTGCAAAGCTTTTCGGTTTTTCAGGGTGTGGCTTACACATGGAATGAGCAAACCAGAGAGGTAAAACACCCACAATTAGAATGACTATTTGAAAGAATCATGGAATAACTCAGATACAGAGTTGTAGATGCTATAAGAAAATAATCATACTATTATTCATTCCGAGGGAGCAGTAGCTGCTTACACTGCTGAACTGCATGATCATTCTTTTGGAATAAATTATTTAAAATTTTCTAAAAAGTGCATTTGTATTATATACTTTATATAACTTATCTTCTTATCTTTGGTTTCTTTTTTTTAAAGATACATCATATAAATGGTTTAAATAAGACAGAAGAAACTGCCTGAAAGGACTCTCTTTCTGAAATTAAAAAGTTGCTCAGTTTTGGGGTAAAAAAGTAATTTAGAGGCAGTTGAACTAGATGAACTCAAGAGGTCCCTTCCAACATGAACAATTCTGTGATTCTCTAAGGGGTATTTTTATATATTATATGTTATATACCTTATGTATAATATACCCTATATGTTATAAACACAATATTTTTTATTTATAAATATTAAATATATTTATATTAGACATACAATATTTTATTAAGTATTGTGTAATTATTATGCATTGTATTTATATATTGTATATTCTATGTATCATGCAAATAAAATTAAATTAAAGAAAAGATAATGTGGTCCTTTTTCTTTAAATGAAGTTACAAGCTTAAAAAGTGTTGGCAAAGGAAAAGAGTAAGAGGGAAAAGAGAGTAAGAGAGAAAAACTATGTTCTTGATTATTTTAACTGCATGCTCTACAATTCAATGTGTATGGTGACAACAGAGAAGAAACTACTACGACTCTTAGTCCTGCAATTCCTTTTACAAAACAGATCAGTCATATGTGTCTATACATACACATATATCACAAACCAGTCCTAACATAATACTGGTTCATTTGTATTTCTTATCCTGCTTGCACCTTTCTACCTATTCTGAAGGTCATGAACACTGCATGAGAGAGGCTGGACGTGGACTCCTAGCATCCAAAGATTTTGAAAAAGAGAGGCTGCACCTGCTTTCCAACCAAGTATTAACAGCAGGCTGCACCTACTGCTGCTGGATAGAAACTGAGTAACCACACGCCCTTCGCAGGTGGAGCGTGGGAGGTGAAATCCACAGTCAGTGAATGAGGTTGCTGGGCAAGACACACACACACACACACACACACACACTCCCACACTGCAGCTGCTACTGCTGTTCCTGTCAATAGCCCCACCATCTGAAGGAGAAAGGCGTTCTACAAAGGTGAGCTGATGCAGCTGCACAAAGGTTTAAGGACAGTTTTACTAATTATTTGCTGAATTACGGATATCTTCTATTAAATAATGTCAGCGACTCAGCTGCCTTCAGCTGGAACAGGAGTGGACCCCTAAGAACTGCCACCTGCTCTCTTGAATCAATGACTAAACTTGTGCTGACTTCAATCACCCTAGAACAAACAGACCTTTAAACCTGAGGCTCTCCCTCAAACAAAAATGGACTCAAATCAGCAGCTGTTTTGCTCAGAAAGGCTCCTGTATGAACTTCCAATTGCTAAAATCAGCCCCATGACACACACAGATGCATATTGGCACTGCCCATCATCTATCTAGTGTCTGTACTGAAATATGTTTTTGAAAAAGACCGAAAAACCCCTGAGGAGCTGAGCTTTTGCTCATCATCTTCCTCCCAGATAGTATCAGGAAACATGAAGATACACGTGTATTTCCAGGTATACATGAAACTAATTGTTCTAAAGCTTGTTATTTGTTGGCACCGAGCCAACAGTCAGAGACATGACACGGTAACTTTTAATCTAGGTTTTGCTTGTGTTTTTGTACAACAGGAAAGAGGAAAAATGTAGTAACAAACATCAAAGTAACTAATAAAATCAAAACAGTAATAATCCCTTCTGTTCTGCTTTTCTTAATTGAACAGTAAATTACTACAGGAGATATACAATCTTTTGACTGGGGATCTGTGTCTCCCAAAAATCAGGGCAATCAATGAACAAATCAACCTTAAGCAACTCCCACATGGGGAGCACATCAGGTTCTCTACTAAATGTGTTCAGTAACACTAAAAAAAGGGGTTTCAGGAAGATCTGATATCAATACTGTGAAGATTCCTGGAAAACATGCACTTCAGAAATATTTCAATTTATTAAACATTATGACATTAACACTGGTGAACCATTATAAATACTGATGAATGACTCGGGAAGGGGACTATATGTCTTGCTCGCCACAGCTGATGATGTAGGTCAGCCTATGGTTCCAAAAATATTAGTGTGGTGACCATCTTATCTTTTGTTTCCCCAAGTTTACTCCAGTGTTCCTCTTACACATTTTATTTCCCTTTTATTAAGTGCTACGCAAAGGAACTTGAAACATTTCATTCCTTGCTGCTGCTGAAATGCAACCCCTGAAGGCCCCCAACTTTGCTGATCTCTAAGGTACCTCACAGGAGGTGACAGGAGCCATGGACAAAAACCACACAACCACGCCGAGGCAACCAACCACAAGGAAGCAAAACAGGTTTGGCTGATTATCGTGGGCCTAACGAAACTGGTGGCTGGGAGGGGCTGCAATTTCAGGATTGGTTAGCTCAGATACACGGAGCAACCTTTCATGATGCTGTGGCACGGGTGAGTGCCTTCAACACTGGTCTGACTTTGTAAATACATTCTCCATGGCAAGACACAACTATTGGGGTTATTACCATTTAGCATTTTATAAATACCACAAGACACACAGCTCTGATGCTTTATACACACTTTATACAAGCTGCAATGCCTGAGTGCATCGTATATTAGGGAAGTGAGTTGGAGCTGCCTACAACAGTGATTTGGAGATATCCCAGCTCAGCAGTGGGCAGTAGAGGTAGATGACCTCTACAGATCAGAGGATGATCTGATGGAGCTGAACTTCACTGGGATGCTGAAAGGTCTCTCACTAATCTGACATGTACATCAAATAAGTAACAGTACTCTAATGAAAGGCCTTACAATCATTTGTAGGCTACAGATTGTCTATGAAAGTGCTTTAAGCTTCTTTCCTTTGCATCTAAAATATTTTTATTTTAACCTAATGGGATATATAGGAACTTGGATTAAAAGCTCTTTTATCAACTATTTGTTTCCCAGATATTGTAAATTGCACAGTATTTACAGTTGAATTTGTATTGTACTCTAAGCATTTCTTTTCCCCTTCCAATCCTACATATATTGCTAGCCTTATTAGCTCAAGGCTAAATATCAAATCTGCAGCATATTTATCTTTTATACTCCTTTTTTTTTTATACTATAAGTCAGTTATAATAGTGGAAATCTGAATACAACCAATAGTATTGTTTCATTGGTACTGATGTAACTGAACTAGAATAAAAACGGAAGTTCTTATTTATACCAAAGCTTTATGTATTTTTAATGTTCATGGTCTAATTCATAAATCAGCCTTAGAGTGTTGTTTTCCTTTCTTTTCCTTTATGAAGATACAAGAATGGCCCATTTGACGGGGGATTAAAAGAGAACTCCAAGATGAATTATTCAGGAGAGCAAACAATATTCTTTTCTAAAGAAAATTATAGCTTTTAGAAATACAGTGCAGTATGTGCAGAGCCTATGTAAAAACAGGAAAGCAAGAAAATAAGAATGAAATAAATGACTAGTTTTGAAACAAAAATATTATTTCTGATACCAAAATGATTGGCCTATATTTATTCAAGTGAAACATGAATTCAGACACGTAGGGTGAAATGCTGACCCTGTTAGTCAGAGACAAAACACTTACTGACTTGAGGAGAACCAGGATTTCACCCCATCAGTGTTAAATATTTATAGTTCCTTCTAATCCATTTTAGGCATTAAATTGAAATACGTTTTGTTACTTTTACATTTTGTTACTTTTCTTTGCTCCTCCTTTTTGGGAAAAAAAATAGGAAGATAAGGTGACTATTTGGACTAGATGATCATTGTAGGCCCCTTCATACTGAAATAATTCTACTTTCTATTCTATTCTATTCTATTCTATTCTATTCTATTCTATTCTATTCTATTCTATTCTATTCTATTCTATTCCTTGGCTTCATTTATCCAAAAACCTTGTTTGGCTTTATATTTTCAAAGTTCTCATGAAAGAACAAACCCTTCTGTACTCCACAGAGGAAATCCTTCTGCCACAGATGCATGGGAAAATCATGTGTTAAGAAGGATAGATTTCAGAGAAGGGGTCTGGCCTTCAAAAGCTCTCAGAATATTACAAAATAAAAAGATGCCACTCCATTTGCCGTGGAGAATATAAAATCTAGAGTAAATGACTGCACTCGGCTCCGTGCGGCTGTGCCTGATCAGCTCCTTGCACCTAATCTAGCTAGCCATAAATTGTAAAATAATAATTTAGGCTGACAAAACTGCATATTAATATAAGCAATGTACTGTACCTAAGAATCCTCGCCAGCAGTCTCATTTTGCAGGAGGATATAAAACTGAGATATCCTTGCTCTTCAAGTCCTTGGTTGAGGGAGAGGTTGAAGGAACAGAAGAAAATTCACATCGCTGTCGCCCCTGGCATTCCAGTTCTGTATTGGAAAATCATAAATCACCTCAGATTTTTTTCAAGATCTAGGTAAAGTATTTCAAACACTCACATTCAAAACTCGTGGTTTTGCCTTCTCTATTCCATATTCAGGTATTAAGTGTAATTACAGAAGATATCTGTCAATAGCTAAATGGGTCCTTACAGGACGAGACCAAGCACGGTGACTATGCCAAGGTAAAGGTCTTTATTTTCTGCCTGAATTAACTGATTGAACAGGGACTGAGTGCTTTTCTTGCTTTCCCCTCACCCATACAGCACAAAGGAGCTTGGAGGTGGACAAAATCTGCTAGGCACTGCATTGGCAGAATGGGGTAGCAAATGTCACCCAGCAGCTAATTACCTGCTGTGAAAGAGCAGAGGAATTGTGTCTCTAAGGGGGTTTTCCTTTGACTTACTCTGCCTGCAACGACCACAGTTGGGGTTACACTACTTATGAACCACTGTTTGAATAAAGGCACAGTCTTATTTAAAGGCTTGGAACAACACTAAGTGTATAACTGTCAGAATACATATTGGTTACCTGCCCACATTACTATTTTATTATGTCCTAAAAAGTGTTCTTTCTGTAAAAAATTTGTTATCAATTAATGTGATGTTACGAAAAATTTTGCACAATTTGGTGTTTTCTCTATAGCACCATTTCCTAGAATCAGATGGTTCTGTAATTATTAAAAAATAATAATTAAAAAAAGTTTCTAGCCCAGTGGCTTGCATAGTAAACCTTTAATTTATTAACCAAAAGAATCTCAAATATCCCCAGCATTTTAGGAAAAAAAAAAATCTTTTTTTTTTGTGTGTTTGGATTTTTCCATACTTCTGCTGCACCAGCTGTCTGGGCTTTCCTATGCAACAAGAATGTTGACCTTCAGGAATCATCTGTAAGTCTTCCCAGGAAAAAATTTAGAGCTGGCTCTATGCTTTCTACCTCTAGGAGATGAAAATAAAGAATTGCAACCTGGATTTCCTGGAAAAAAAAAAAAAAAAAAAAAAAGGAAGCCATGGCAAAAACTTCTCAGCAATAATCAAAAATTACTTTTACTGATCAATAAATGAGGTATTTTAACTACTAGTAGTACATGGAGAGGACTGATGCATTTTACTAATGATGTAGACACATCAAGTATTGACAAGCTCTGATCATGACAGTGATGCCACCATACACATGGTGATGAAAGAAACACAGCAGGAAACAACAAGGAGAAGAATGTCTTCTAGTAAGAGAAAACTGCAGCCACAAGAAAACACAGATTAAAACACCAGACTTCCATGTCTGACCTCTCCACACATTCTGCAAGTGACTGGAGCTGCTGCTAATGATGGCAGGACACTCTGAATGAGTCAAAGAAGCTGTGGCATGAAGAAGACCTCAAAACATATTTAGCTGATTTGGACTTTTGGCAGTATTTGGGTACGCTTGCATTTTCCTCAGACAGATTACAAAGCACTGACAATGCCAAGGTTGAGAGCATGGACATTTAACCAGCTGAAATTATCCTACGAAGGTGTTTCACTGCTCACATCTGGAGCTGAAACAGTGACTCAGCATCGTGGTAAAGCTGTCCTGAAACTCTGTCAAAGCAGAACTGTGTACTCAAATACTAAGCTGAGTACTACCTCACACTGTTTAATTGCACTGGTGCATAATTAGAGAACACTGCCAGTCTCTCTTTAAAGGTTCCCTGCAGCCTAGACTGAAAGAAAGGTGAAAACAGAGCCAGGAGTGCTAAAGATTCTAAACCAGGAAGACTAGCATTGACCAATGAGTAGGACTTTGTCATTCCTTTTGACTAGTGTTTCCACAGATTTCATACACAGCAAAAGAGTAGTTTAAGGTGGCACAATAACTCTACACTCACACACAAATTTCTGTCTGTAATTAAGTGAAAAGCACAAAACTCCACTTGAAATCCATTATCAAAATGCAGTACTGTACAAAAAAGGATATTTAGCAAAAATATAACATAAGCCTGTATCCCATGATAATCAATAGATAGCGCAATGCAAATACGTAGCAGAACTGAGGCCCAATATTCAGAGTGGCTTTCCCAAAACCTCTACAGAACTGAATTAAGTGACAAAACTAACATTAGTAAAAGTAGTCACAAAGCTTAGTATTTGTGAGAATCAGAACAATTCCCCCTTGGACTCAGCAAAGCCCTTAAACATCCTGAATTATAAACAAGTGAGTAATTCCATCCCCACGCGACAAGCTGCTTAAATACAACGGGAATGCTTAAGTGTTCTGCTACACAGGGACGCAATTACTCACATACTTAATGACAAGCACGTGCTTATTACTTAACTTTTTATGTTGCCATGCCTAAAAAGAAGCATACAACTAATTAATGTACAGTTACGAGAGTCCACACCCCTGGAGCTTACTGCATAAAAGAGAAGAGAATACAGAGAAGAGATAAAAAAGCAGTAGAATGACATCTTTGAGATTAAATGTAAATTGAATCTGCCTGAATATTTTACAGGTGATCAGCTTGAATGATGACAGATTCAGCCTTATTTCACACTAGTTTGAAAGAGGAAAAATAGTCCACTTCTTTGGCATAGTCTTCCCTTTTTTTTCCCTGTGTGTTTTGATACTTGATCTGTACAAGATACCCACAAAGATACTTCACAGATGCACTTTGTTAATTAGCTATATGCTGTTTTTCAAATTCTGTAGACTAAACATCAGATTTGGTAGGCAAAAGGCATCTTGACATGTGCTGAATGCACTCCAATATTATTTAAGCAGATGTAGCAAGTCACACTATAAGATTTTCATGATATTCCAATTTATTTTCACATCAGTAACTGCTTCTGCAATTTTAATTCGTATTAATATTTTCTGCATTGTCCCAGCAAAGACAGACTGAATGAAATCAAGGAAATGAGCAAGAATATTTGTGGGTTTCTCCAGACTTGTCTATGAAACATTTAGGTGCAACTTTCTTCAATAGGGAAATTTTACAGTCATATACATAGAAAGACTATTTTAAACATACACTAGGAAAGTAAGAATTAACATTTTCAAGTTTTTGCCTGTGAAAAAACCCGTGTATGCAAATAAAGATGCACCAGAGTATTTTCTTCTAAGTAGGTTACAATGTTGTCACTCTATGGAGATTTTGATAGCCTATCTCTACGGCCTCTGATCTGCACTTTGGGATCACTGCACAACTTTAGAAATACACTCTTCTATAAAAGGGAATAAAACATGCCAGCCTTGGCACAGATTGTCTGCAGCAGCAAAGTCAGTAAATAAAATGAAAAAAACCCAAAAACATATAAAGTTATATTAAATGCACACACTAGGCTCCATTTTAATGCAGCCCCCTGCAAGAGGGCTATTACTGCACCTCTTGCTTTAGAAGAGTTCCTCACAATTTCAGGAGGACTAGAGCATAAATTAGAATTTTAAGTGGTTTTTTTTCAGTGTTTCAATCCAGAAGTTGGTGACCCTGTCCCCACTAGAAAAAGTATACAGACAAAAAAACCTTTAACTTTTAATGTTGCAATTACTGGCATCAATGTACCTTCTGCATATAACTCTCAGCCAATACATGAATGTGTTGTTAGACTGAGGGCAAAGTGCTCAGCCCCAAAGTCTGATCTTCCAGTCATTCCTTGCTCAGTGTTTCACTTGATGCCAATTCCAATGCCACTTCTAAAACTTATTCTTTATTCCTGTCCAAGCTTTTTTCCTTGATGAAACAATAGCATGTCATCTAGTCCATATTTTTGCACACACAGTATTTTGCAAAGTCCAAAAATTGTATATCCCTCATTTGTTTCTTCTCTTTAGGGAGATATTGCTCAGCCTGTATTAATAACTACAAAGTTCTTCCTAGAACTGGCCTTTCAGATTACCTTTATTTATTATAGAAAATGCAAGGCTTTCTTCTCTAATCTTTTTGGGCACTACATCTTATACCTTTGCTTGCCACTGGGTTTCCTCCATGTTATAAGATCACTTTACAATTACTGAATCTCCCTTTTTTTCCTTCTGACTAAATTTATTAGTTCTTTTTGTTCCCTTTACCTTAGTCTTAGCCTTTCAAGTTTGCCAAAATTCTCCTGGGGACAAGAAAGAAAGAACTCACTTGTTTTTTGTGAAGAAAGGACTAGAAGACAGGAGAGAAGATGGATTACAGACATGTTTTAGACATGTAGGGCATCTGCTGGTTTGGTAGACTTTCCATGGAAAGGAAATACCCAATAGTTTTTCCTTCTTTTCCACATGCCTATTATGTAAAAGGATGATGTGGAGTGCTTGAGCGAGCTCTTACAATAAGAGCTTATAAAACTTTTCTTCACTTAACTATGTTACGTTTTTTCAAATTAAACTGACATTCTACAGAAAGTCTACTGCATTTATCATCCTAAACTTTCAACGTATCACGCTGACACTGCACAGGTGTTGGGATTTTTTTCTTCAGAGTTGGAAGGAATACGGAACTTGGGCTTTAATCTAAGCATACTAGTTTCACCACTTCTTTATCCTTTGGTTTTTCGTTTTTTTTTCCAGAATGAGATCTTCCAGGCTTGTTTCTTGCTTCTCCTAAATAGTGTCTGTGTTCTGTGCATTTTTTCCAGTCAGATTTTCAATTCCATACTACCTTTTCCCTCTTGGAAGTTTTGGAAAGACCCTCTGGTTTAAAAGTTATGCTGTTCTATTGATTTCATCGGGCTGTTTATACGTGCCAAGCAGAAGCAGTTCATTTCACTGCATACAGGAAACTGTGCCTGTAATTCTTTTGCAATTTCCAACGCCAATTACATTGTCTGCACTAGTGAGTTTGAATCCCAGACAGATCCTTGGAGTCTGCTTGCTTTTGCTTAATGCTGACTTTAGGCATGTGAGGTCTGTGAGCTCCTGTTAACTCTGGCATTCTTTTTAAAATATGACTTTCCTCAGCCCACATTTAACTGCTGCACAATTAAACCAAATCCTTATGTCCCATATTTTATAGTGGTGTTGTCAAACCATCAGAAATGAAACACAAAGTCTTCTTAAATAAGCTGTATATTTGATAGAGAAACGTGCTACCAGCTTTTGCACAGCCACATGGTTGACTTGAAAAAGGTATGTGGGCTTTTTTATTATCACTAGCTAATGAA